GCCTGCAAAAAGGTCAATGAACTCGACCCAGCTGATCCCATAGCTACAAATGCTCAACAATCCCATACGTTACACCAAAACACAGACAGAGTTCTAGCTCCTGTCCTCTGAAGACCCCCTGTCCTCACAAAGACTGGTGAAACATTAGGAAGAAAAACCTCCAGAACACGGCTCACACCAAAACACAGACAGAGTTCTAGCTCCTGTCCTCTGAAGACCTCCTGTCCTCACAAAGAGTGGTGAAACGTTAGGAAGAAAAACCTCCAGAACACGGCTAAACAGCTAGAAAAACCTACAACAACCATTAGATCCCGGCCATAAAAGCCTTCAAATTGTACAGTAATTAATATAATGCTTTTAGTAAAACACACACAGCCCACAAGGATCCTAGAAATTTTAGGCTTTTTATAATGATAAGAACTTCAGGAATGATCCTCTTGAGAAAAACAAGAGCTGAAGATGTCCTCCTGGAATGGAAGTCTGACAGCGCTTTCTCCTCCATGTCTCTTAAATTGTGTAATGCTCTCCCCTCAGAGTTTCTATCATTTTTCATCCTTGCTGCATTTGAAAAAATGCTGTGAAGACACATCTTTTAAAATCAGTTTAAGATATAGTTTACTCAGTCAAATGATTTTAACTGTGCATAGACTTAATTTATTTTAATGGTTTTTATTATTCTGTTTGGATCTATTTAATTTTAATGGATTTGTTTTGACTGAATTTGTTTTACCTGTTCCTTTACTGTATGTGTTACTTGCTTTTTTATGTTTTACTGTTGTAAGTCAATTTGAATGGCAGGGTAAAAATACAATAAAGAAATAAATAAAATTTGAAAACATTCCATTTCAAACAAGGTTTAGGCCACAGAATGGTACCAAAATAACCTTGTCTGCCCTGCAAGACGGTCTTCTAAAAGAGGCAGACAAGGGAGTGTAACCCTGTTGGTCTTCCTGGATCTTTCTGTGGCATTTGATTCCATCAACCACAGTATCCTTCTGGGAATGCTATTAAATTTAGGGATTGGGGCTTCCGTTCTCCACTGGTTCCTCTCATTTCTTGATGACAGATCCCAGAGAGGGCTTGGGGATGCCCTCTCTACCCCTGGGGACCTCTGCTTTGGAGTTGTTTCCCCAAAGCTTTTTAACCTATATGAAGCCACTGGGAGAAATAATACAGAGGTTTGGGATTTGTTGTTGCCAATATGCAGCTCTGTCTCTTCTCTGCTTCATCTGCAGATGCTGCTGCTCCAGTCCTTGAGTGCTGGCTAGTGCCAGTAAAGCACTGGACAAGTGCCAATAAACTGAAACTGAATCCATATAAGACAGATATCCTACTGTTAGGAGAATCAAATTACCTGGCCTTGATGGGGTTACACTCCCCCTGAAGGATTGGGTCTGTAGGTTGGTGGTACTCCTTGGCCCAGCACTCTCTATGGAGGCTCAAATATTGGCCATGGACACAAGTGTGCTTTACCAACTCCGATTAATTGCCCAGTTGTGCTCCTACCTGGATAAGAAATGCCTAGGAACTGTGGTTCATACATTGCTAATCTCAAAAATAGACTACTTTAACGTAGTCTACTCTACGTAGGGCTGCCCTTTAAAACAGTATTTCAGCAGTTTCAAAATGTGGCGATCTGACTGATCTCTGGGACTAGTAAATTCAATCATATATCCCTAGTCTTGGTGTGCCTTCATTTCCTTTCTGTCAGTTTCTATACTCAATTCACGGTAATGATTATGATCTTTTAAACTTCATTATGAGTTCCAAGCAAATGGCCTTCTCATTATGTTCTGTAGGTGAAGAGACTCCAAGACAGTATTTTTTGTTCAGAAGATAACAGCCTTTATTTTACGTACAAGGGGGAATCAAATGTTCTAGAAGTCAGAGACCTCAACTACCAGGTAAAAGGTGGCATTTATTTATATTCTTCTTGGTCTACCACCATGTTTGTTAGAATGATTATAATAATCTTCTAGAAATATCCCCACCCTTCTCAAAAGGAACAAAAGCAGAACTGAGCCATGGGTGATGTTTTGTAAATATTTCATAGTCTAAGTAGTTCCACTTGGGTTAGAAACATGGATCTTAACTGAAAGATGGAGGATGTTGCACTAGAAACAGCAAGAAAGAATGCAGAGATTGCCAAAGTGTTGAAAGAAAAAGGAATGAGGAAGATAGAACATTGAGTGACAGTCTGAAGGTATGAGGAAGAAAAGCATGCTTGAAGCCATATGTAGTCTATAGCTCACTACACCAGGTGAAGAAATGCCTATCATGCTATAGCAAAATCAAGTCTCTGAATCAGTAAATAAAATTTCATGGTGATAGTTGCATAAACTTGCTTTTTTCCTTCTTATTGTGTGGTATAGTGGATAAAAAGCTGGACCAGGAGACCTGGGTTCAGTTTTGTGCTCAGCTGTGGAAACCCAAGTGGAGGGAGCAATGGTAAACCACTCTTTGAACATCTCACATACCTTGAAAACTATGAGATTCAACATAAGCTGGAAGCAACTTGGTGTCTCATGACAAATGATCAAACTGCTTGTGCCATAGGCTTAGTGGTGCTTTGAGCTGGGTGCTGAAGGAACTGATTGCACAATCATGACTTGTGACGGCACCACTGAGGCTTTATACTGCTCCAGCACTGAATGAGATCTTTGCACCAGTTGCATACCCTTGACATTTGGAAATGTCACTTATTTGTATGAGAGCTCACACAATTCCACAACTAGCATGTCAGCTAAAAAGTCATTTTTCCAAACTCTTCAACCCTAGTAGCATGTGCTCACAATGTGGAGTTGTGGAATGCCTCACATTCCTTCCAAATCTGTCTGCAGAGCTGACCTTCTGGAAGCAGGTACAGTGGACCCTCGACTTATAGATGGCTCAACTTACAGACTTTTCGAGTTACAGACTTCTCTGGCCACAAAATTTAGGTTCGACTTGCAGTCTGAGAATCAACTTACAGACCAGAAAAAAACCAAAATGGAACAAAAATGGAACAAAAATTGAACAAAAACGGCCGGTTACAGGATTAATCGGTTTTCAATGCATTGTAGGTCAATGGAGACTCGACCTACAGACTTTTCGACCTGCAGCCACTGTTCCAGTGGGTCCACACTGGGACTGCAGGTTAAGATAGTGCACAAGAAGAATCATTCCAATATAGCTTGCTTAATTACAGATTAGGCTGGCCATGAGTGGTGGGATCTGAATGTATATGCAGGCTGCAAATGTTATCAGGTGGATTACTGAAGCACTCGGCTTGCTAGAAATTAGAGTTATCTTTCAGGCATATTTGAAATACTGTCACTCTACTATTTTCTTCATCAGGTTAATGTGGCCTCACAGATTCCTTGGTACGAAAAATTAGCGGAACTCCAAATGCCTTGGACCCGTGGCATGGCTGCTGAATCCCACATGGTAGCCATACGAAACCTGAATTTTAAAGTCAGGAGTGGGCAAATGCTGGCCCTCATAGAGAGCTCTAGTAAGAATAAAACTTGTTATTATGTCAACTTAGTTCATTCTGGAATAGCCATAACTACTGAACCCTGCGAGACCAACCTATAGATAAAAACATGAAGACATGTTCTGTATATATCTGGAGTGGAGGAATCTGCAGATAATAGATTCTGATTCCTCCCCTAACCACTACCCATGCTGGGTGGCCAGATGGGAATGGGGGTGGTGGCAAGTGTCCTATCCTCTAAAATCAGATGTTTTAAATCAGTGCATTATGCACATGAAAGTAGAAAAGGGGAGTAACAGTTGAAAGGAAACCTCTTTTTCTGGCATAGGAAATAGAGTTTTTACATATAATTACTGTACTTAAACTAGCTTATTTCCTTCTCAATATAATGTACTATTTGTGTGTTTCCATGGTGTGGGGACTTTTGCTAATCAATTCCACTCACAGGTTAAACAATTCCTTTAGGAGAAAGGTGGTATATAAAATATTTTACATTAATTGATTAAAATTAATAGTCCAAAACTGTAATTTTCCATACAGTACTATGCTTTGGCCAACTCACTAGATTTAGATATTGGAAACCTACTCTCTATGGAAGGTGGTTAGTGGGATCTAACAGTACAACATATGAACATGCCTCTTACTCATGCCTTATCAGTTCATCCAGCTTGGGAGTGCGTGAAACTTCCTCACTGTTTTTGCTGTTTGCATGACCTCCACAGCCCTTTGCCATTAAGTACCCCCTTAGCAAACAAAAGCAGAAAAGTTCTCTCCTTATTTTCCCTTCTACAAGGGAAAAGACACTCTGCCTTCCTAGTCTTAAAGGGCTCTGTGGAGCCGCAGGTTGCTCTGACATACTTGTGGACCATAGGGCTGCTGCTGTTGAGGCTGAACTTCAGCAGCAGTTGTGGGCCTGAGAAACCTGTTAGTGGCTAGAGGTTCCCATGGTGGAGGTTCACATCATGGGGAAATGGCCCATCTCCAATCTCACTCAATATTCAATGACCTTCCAAGGCTTCAGACAGGAGTTTTTCACATTCCTGTCTTGAGATACCTGGGAAATTCTGCATTTTCCAAGTTTCCCAACTAGGAAATTTTCAAATTTGGGGGAAGTGCTTCTGTCTGTGTCATTCATCATAAGTCATCCATATGGAGAATATATCCCAGCAAAGCTCCTTTTCTCATAGACTGTGTCACCAGTGGCTATGCTGGTTGGGGGACCTGGGAGCCACACCCCCAAAAATACTTACATTTCTAAACTCTGGATAATTTGGATGAAATTCCTGTTACCGTATTTTTCTGTGTATAAGACTATATTTTTGTCTAAAACCTTTAGACTAAAAATTGAGGGTCATCTTATACACTGAAGTAAGCTGAAGGGAGAACAAAAATAAGTGGAGGGGAAAGCAGGGATCAAAGTGATCTTGCAGGGCTTTGATCCCTGCTTTCCCCTCCACTTGCTAAGCACCACTTAGATTTCTTAATTTTGGGTTAGAAAAGTTATACATGGGGGCACCTTATACATGGAGAAATACAGTAACTCCTTCTCATGTCTAATCAGGTCAATAGGTTCATATTATTTCTCTTGATCCTCTTTGGTACAGTATGAGAAGTTTAATAAGACTTTTTGCCCACAGATGTTCAGTTTTCCCCCCATCTGTTGTATTCCCAGCTTGTGGAAAGACACCTTTGTTTGACCTGATCACATGCAGGGACCATGCAGGCAAAATTACATCAGGTGAAATCTTAATCAATGGAAAACCCATCAATCGTCCGCTGGTGAAGAAATGCGCTGCCCACGTACGGGAAGACGACAGGCTGCTCCCCAACCTGACAGTCAGAGAAACGTTTTTGTTCATCGCAAAACTGCGTCTCCCAGAGAGCTCAGATTCACAAAGAGAAAAAAGGGTAATTAGAATGAAAATTAAGTTGTCAAGAATATATTTAATGAAATTAGCTGTGGCTGTATGACTTGTTGGATAAAGAAAAAATCAACTGAATGTGATTATTTGTCCTTTTTATCAATGATGAAGCTTGTTTTGCCTAATATTTCCAGTTTTTATACGGGTTCTTATTTTACTTGTTCTGTGTTCTTTGATAGAAAAATGTGTATTGGCATCTTCTTATGCAAGTGCTCATCTATTTCATGGAAGAAATGCAGGAAAAAATTAAATGACAGGCGTTGCAAAAACATTTTTTTAAAAATCCTTGCTATTGTCTATGGCAGGTACATCTTAGTAACATTGGTGCCTGAAGTTACTTTCACATTTGACCCCTTCGATGCAATTAGCTCAAAGTAAAATTTAAAAAAGAGTCTGGCTGGATCAGAACAATGATCCACTTCGCTTGACTTAGTCCTGCTTCCTATGATAGACAACTTGATGCCACTAGTTTAGCCTTGAGAGAAAATGGCTTAGGGAAGATGTGAAAGCACTTTTCAAATACCTGAAAGGTAGCCATACAGAGAAGTGGAAGGATTTGTTCTTGGTCATCCTAGAGTGCAGGACACATAATAGTGGGCTTATGTTACAGGAAACCAAATTTTGGCTAAATATCAGGAAAAAACTCATAATTTAGAGCAGTGGTTCTTAACCTTTGTTACTCATGTATTTTTGAACTACAACTCCCAGAAACCCCAGCCAGCAGAGCTGATGGTGAAGGCTTCTGGGAGTTGCAGTCCAAAAACATCTGAGTAACAAAGGTTAAGAACCACTGATTAAAGCAGTGTGACAATGGAACCAATTACCTTGGGAAATGGTGAGTGCCCTAACATTGGAGGCATTCAAGAGAAAACTGGCTAACCATCTGTCAAAACTACTTTGATTCACATTCCTGCACTTAGCAAGGGGTTGGACTCGATGGTCTTATAGGCCCCTTTTAATTCAATTATTCTATGATTCTACCTTAGCATATAATCAAAAGCAGGATTTATCTCAAGTGATGAAGAACATCTGTTTGCTTAAGCACATACTTTTCTTCACCTCTGTATCTTGCATTCAAACACACTGTGTCTTGTGATGGGCACCGATAGTTAAAAGGGTGCTTGCTTTGCAAGTATGGTTACTGAGAGATCCATCTCTTGGGGGCAGATCACTCTTTAAAGGAAATGTCTGTTTACTCCTGTTATAACATTATCCCTTCAAACACACTATTCTTTTAGTACTACATGCCTGAGCCATCAAAAATCCCTCTCACCCTATCCTCATGCACAGAACAAGAAGCAACAGTAGTAAGAACCTGCGAACAACAAGTCAGACTTCCCTAACTTTGTATTCTTCAAATATTTTAGACTACAGCTCCTAGTATTTGTGGTCACTGGCTGCTATAGTGGCTGGAGCTCATGGCACAGTAGTCTTGAAATACATCAATAGAAGTTTACCTATTGACAATGGGCAGGTTGGTGCTGCCGCTATGTTTTATGCATATCTTGAAAGACAATCAATCAGGTCTTCAAACACACAGGAAAGGTAACACCAAAAATACCGGAATTGGGTTCTTTGTAAAAAGTGGACCCACGACACCTGCTTCAAACACCATATTACAGAAGTGTCTCTGGAAAAAGTGATTCCATTATACAGTATTGCTATGTATAGATTGCATGTGCCTTCTGAATCAATGTAAATAATAGGAATGATAACACTGATGTGCCTCTTATCAATTCTTCAGGTAGAAGATGTTATAGCAGAACTGAGGCTGCGGCAATGTGCAAATACCAGAGTAGGGAATGCATACATCCGGGGTGTTTCTGGGGGAGAGAGGAGGAGAGTCAGCATTGGAGTCCAGCTGTTGTGGAATCCTGGTAAGCATAAAGAGGCAAGCCCTAGTTCAAGGATCAAAAGCACCTGGAGGCCTCATACACATACAGTAGACTCTCTTCTTCAGTTCTTCCCTCCAGCACATGGAGTTCACGACACCAGCTGGGTTCATGAATGCAGTCTCCACTTCCCCTTCATGGAACTGTACTTGCATTAGGGAAAGTGCAAGAAAAGGGCTATAGTGTAATGTCCAGTACTTAAGTATCACCAGAGGCATCCCATTCGATAGCTCTACTGTAGTTGGGACTAAAAATTGGATTAGTCCAACATCTTGTGGATATTCATGGACACCACAGACCTAGTTCATGCAGCCCTCTTCTCTCACATGTCCAAGGATGAGTTAAGGAAATATCTGAATAGGACTCTCTTGTACTTATAAATTGGATCCCTGTTACGTTCGAAGAATAATCTGGCTAACTGGCTAGCTATCTGCCAGAGTAGATTGCCTACAAATCTTAATTTGGACGTTGGTCCAGATGGGTAGGGTATAAATAAATAAATAAATAAATAAATAAATC